TATCGTTTTGCATGTGAACAAAAATGGATAGTATTTGGGTTTTTTAACTTGGTTTATCTTGCCCAACTTGATGATCTCCAGTTTTATCCATTTTCTTGCAAATGACAGGTTCATTTTATTTGTAGTTGAACATCTATACATTTTCTTCATCCACTCATCCACTGATGGACACTTGGGTGTCCATTACTGTTCACTGGGGTGAACAGTGCCACAATAAAAATGGATGTGCAGATGTCTCTCGTATATTGATGTATGCTTTTTCAGATATATGTCCAAAGTGGTACAGTAGGATCATAAGATTCTCCTTTTAGTTTAGCTTTTTCTTTTTTTCTTCTCTGTGTGTGTAGTAGTCCTGGGACTTCAACTCAGGTACTATGTGCTGTTCCTGAGCTTTCTTTCTTTTTTTTTTTATTGTAAAAATACCGTACAGAGGGGTTACAATTACATGGGCAAGATAATGAGTACATTTCTTTCTTTTTTTTTTTTTTCTTGGGTCCAGTCGTGGGGCCTGAACTCTGGGCCTGGGTGCTGTCCCTCAGCTCTTCAGCTCAAGGCTAGCGATCTACCACTTGAGCCACAGTGCCACTTCCGGCTTTTTTCTTTTTGCTTATGTGGTGCTGAGGAATCGAACTCAGGTCCTCAAGCATGCAAGGCAAGCGCTCTACTGCTGAGCCACCTTCCCAGCCCCTAATGAGTACATTTCTTTTATTTTTATTTTTTATTTTTATGGGTCCGGTCATGGGGCCTGAACTCTGGGGCTGGGTGCTGTCCCTCAGATCTTCAGCTCAAGGCTAGTGCTCTACCACTTGAGCCACCTTCCCAGCCCATGAGTACATTTCTTAACAAGCATTGTTGCCTCCTCCTTCGTTTCCCCTTCCCATCCCTTCCCATCTCCCACCCCCCTGTTTTTCTTTGCCCCACTTACAGTTTTTTTGGTGCTTGATTGGAGATAAGAATTTCTTTTTTCGGGGCTGGGAAGGTGGCTCAGTGGTAGAGCACTTGCCTTGCATGCCTGAGGCCCTGGGTTCGATTCCTCAGCATCACATAAGCAAAAAGAAAAAAGCCGGAAGTGGCGCTGTGGCTCAAGTGGTAGAGCACTAGCCTTGAGCTGAAGAGCTGAGGGACAGCGTCCAGGCCCAGAGTTCAGGCCCCAATACTGGACCCCCTCCAAAAAAACAATCTCATGAAAGCTGGGTGCGGGTCGCTCCTGCCTGTAAGCCTAGCTACTCAGGAGGCTGAGATCTGAGGATCAAGGTTCAAAACCAGCCCAGGCAGGAAAGTCCATGAGACTCTTATCTCCAATTAACCACCAAAAAACCAGAAATGGCACTGTGGCTCAAGTGCCTTGAACTGAAGATCTCAAGGACAGCACCCAGGCCCAGAGTTCAAGCCCCATGACCAGCGGTGGGGGGGTAGGAGAAGAATCTCATGAACTCTTGCCTGAGCTTTGAACTGTGATCCTCAGATCTCAGCTTCCTGAGTAGCTAGGATTACAGGTGAGAGCCACCAGCGCCTGGCTTTTTAGTTTTAGTTTTTTAAACTCTCTACAAATTTCCATAGAGAAGTTGTTCTAAGTTCTAATTTACATTTGTACTAACAGTGTATGAATGTTCTTTTTCCTCTTTTCTTACCAGCATTTGTTGCTTGCTTGCTTTCTTCCTCCTTTTTTTTTTTTTGTTGGTCATGGACCTGGGCACTGTCCCTCAGCTCTTCAGATCAAGGCTAGTGTTCTATCACTTGAGCCACAGCACCACTTCTGGTTTTCTGGTGCTTTATTGGAGATAAGAGTCTTAGGGACTTTCCTGCCCAAGATTGCTTTGAACCATGATCTTCAGATCTCAGCTTCCTGAGTAGCTAGGATTACAGGTGTGAGCCACCGGCACCCGGATATTAATCCTTTTTAAAAAATTGATTCATTTATTTGAGATAGGGTCTCACTAAATTACCCAGTCTGTCCTCAAATTTAGGATCCTCCTGCTTCAGCCTCCTGGATTACACTACTCCTGGCCAAAATTAGTTTTAGAAAGTGATACATATTTCCACTATCTTGATTGTAGTGATATATAGTTACAGTCAAGCTTATTGAATTATATACTTTAAATATCTTATGCTAAAATATCTCAATGAAACTGTTTTGTTTTTAATTGTGGGGGATGGGGGACAGGTGTGATTGTACATGTCTGTAATCCCAGCTACTCAGGAGGTGGTGATAGTTGGATCACAAATTCAAGGCCATTGTAGGCAAAGTTAATGACCTCCTTTCTCAACCAAATTACAATAAATATATAAATAAATAAAGAGGATGAGGGCTGTGTCTCAAGCATGTATAGATCCTAGGTTCAATCCCTGGCTACTCCAAAACAGAAAAACAAATCCTAATTAAAAAGACCTCAAGGACAGCACCCAGGCCCTGAGTTCAAGCCCCATAACTGACAAAAAATAAAAATAAAAAAATAAAAAAGGAAATGGCTGGGGGAGGGAGAAAATTCTTGGACCTCTTTTGTGACTTTTTTTTTGCTTGCTCAAGAATGCCAGATGGTATCTGATTTTAAGATTCTTTTCTCAGTACTTGGATGCATTTTTAACTGAAAGGATAGTCTATAAGCTCAGTTTTGTGGCTGAACATAGAAATGTGATATAAAATCTCTTCCTTCAGATAGGTCCTATTTCCTTAGACATAGAATGCAGCTGATTCTCCCATCTCTGCCTCCCTTGCTAGGATGCTTCTTCCATTCTAAATGATCCATAGTTTCTCTTTCCTTCCAGGCCCAGTGAAAAATCAGATTCATTTCACAGTCTTTCCTCTCTATTTCTGCAGAAAAATTTTTGTATCCTCTTCAAGTTCCTCCAGAGTTTATAATCTAAATTGCTCTTTTGACAATTATTTGCTGTCTTGTATCATTGGCTTTTCATATGCACAGGACAGGGACTAGGTCATATTTATTTATGTGTCTCTCCCAAGGCACTTAATAAATGCTTAATAAGTGTCAATTTAAGACATCTCACTTTTACAGTCTTTCCAATGCACTCTCTCAGCCATTATCTCATATGCTCATTACATCAACACTATGAGATTGGAGGAGCTAGAAATATGTTATTTCCTCCTTCTGACAGATGAGGAAACTTGAAGTCCAAGGTCACAGGACATTTTTTTTAGAGACAGAATGCAAACAGGTAATTGCATATGTTGGCCTGGTACAATATAGGGCTTCCTACCACTATTTCCTCCATCCTTCCACTGGAAGACAGGCCTCTGAACCCTTTACATTCTATGTCCACAGTTACTTCAGAGCCTTTTAGCCAAAGCTTTGTAGTCCCATGTTTGAGAATCTGACAAGTCTGGGTGATGAAATTTCAGTAGATTTCTAATCAGCTCTGAATCACCAAAGCATGCTTGCTATTTTGTTCTAAGGGCTGTTTGTTAGGGACATTATGCCAGCTATTTAATGATGCTGCAACTACAGAACTGAAGAAGCATAAATGATTTTTAAAAGCCTTTGGCACTCTAGCATTAAACATGAAAGGTGGTGGCTAATGAGCTTACCAGGGATATGAAATTTCTGCACCACACCTCACCATTCCTCCATGTGTGCTAGTAGTCTTCTCTGGTTGATTCTAAGAAGTGAAATTCCAAATCCAAGCACATCTTGCCCCACCTTAGACTACCCAATTTTTCTCTGATGCATGAAATCTGATAACTTTGGTGTAGTTTTCTTAGCATTAAACTTGCTGCCCAGGGTAACTTTGAATTCCTGAGTCTCCTTCCTCAGTCTCCAGAGAAGCTGAGATTACAGATACATGCTACCACACCCAGTGAAACTTAAAAATATTTTTTTTTTGGCCAGTCGAGGGGCTTGAACTCTGTGCCTGGGTGCTGTCCCTCAGCTCTTTAGCTCAAGGTTAGTGCTCTGCCACTTGAGTCAAAGCACCACTTCTGGTTTTCTGGTGTTAGTTGGAGATAAGATTCTCAAGGACTTTCCTGCAGGGGCTGGCTTTGAGCCATGATTCTCAGATCTCAGGCTCCTGAGTAACTAGGATTACAGGTATGAATCACTGGAGCCCGGCACTTTCTAAATTTTAAGAAATAATTCACCTAAGCCAGGCACTGGAGGCTCACATCTGTAATCCTAGCTATTCAGGAGACTGAGATCTGAAGATCGTGGTTTGAAACCAGCCGGGCAGGGAAGTCCGTGAAACTCTTATCTCCAATTAACTAGAAAAAATAAATAAATAAATAATTAGGAGTTCAAGTCCCACAACCGACCCTCCCACCCCCCAAAGAAAAGGATATAGAGGTGTGGCTTAAGTGGTAGAGCTCTAGCTATGAGCAAAAAAGCTAAAGGAAAGCATAAGGCCCTGAGTTTAAACCTCAGTACTTACACGCACTAGAAAGGCTGCTAATTAACCTAGGGAAGGTGTAAGTGGGAGTAGGAGTTAGATTTAAGATTAAGACAGAGGTGACCGGGTGATAAGAAATAAAGGGGAGGGCAGAGAAGCCAGGAGTAAGAAATTCAGGAAGTCAGCCACAGGAGCCAAGCCCAGAGGAGACTCTCAGGGCACCGTGTGTGGTCTTGGAAGGTTCAGAGGGCCATTGAGGCAAGTTTAGGCTCCGGGGCCTCTACCTTTCCGTTCTGTAAGACGGGTAGCATGATGATTTCCACATAAGATGCCTTAAAAACTAAGTAAGGTTAGACTGGCGAAGCCGATCGCGTGGCACACAGTGCCTGACTCCTCAGAGGGTGTAAGCTAGTGATAAGCGAATTAGTAAACGTTACCAATCATGCCAGTTTCCTTAACCTTGCTCTCAACCGGGAGAAGACACTAAGAAGGAGTCGTGACACACTCCCATGAGCACCCTGTCCCAGCGGGCGGTTAAGGGCTCCAGGGCGCGCGCCGGGCGAGGTGCGGGATGTGTAAGGCAGGGGCGGGGCCTGCCGTTCCCGCCACATCATGTCCCCGCCCCCTCCCTCTCCGGGGCCTACGGTGTGCTTTCCGCCCGGTCCCCGGCCTTCCCGCGCTGTCCTCCCGGGCCTGGTCCCCCGAGCCCTGCTCAAGGCCCGAGTGGGAGGTTCCGGAGCCGGGGCGCGGCGGGGGCGGCCGCGGGCCCGCCCACCCCACTCTCGCCGGCGGCCCCAGGAGTGCAGGTTTGCTTCCGGCGGGCGGGGGGCTGGCCGCGGGGCAGCGGGTGCGGGGAGGGGCGGCGGATGCGGGCAGGGCCGGCCGTCCCGCGCGGGGACGCCGAGCTCCTCCTCGTCCTTGGGAACCCTCGGCCACCGGGACGGAAGGGAAGCCGGCGCCGAGAGCGCGCTCTGCATCTTGATTCATCTCAGGCCCGGCGAGGGTCACATCTTGTGAAAATACCTGTAAAATCCATTTAACGTTCAGTGCAGCGTGTGAAGACAACTCTGATTTTAAATGACGCCTGAGTCAACGTTTAAATGTCTGGGTCCCCGTGGCAGCATTTTAACACGTCTGAGTGCAGAGGGTGGAGAATCGAGGTTGAGTGCCACCGTCGATCACGCCTGGCACATCTTAAAAGGCTAAGGAAAAGCACCCAGGAACATTCCTGAGTGGTCAGGGAGGGAGCACCTGACTGGTTGAAATTTGGGTTGATCCTCGTTTCCGTGTGTGGGATTTGTCTGCAAAACTTTTTTTTTTCTTTTAAGATTATTTGCAGGCTAAGATCCACAGTGAATTGAACTGTTAAAACACAGGCCTTAACTAAATAGGGGCCTTGGTTGACAAGTCGATTGTGTTATTCTTCATTAAAATTCAAGCATAAATCGTTATCTTGGTTTTGTAGGTGTGAAAAAAAGTTTGTCATTAAAAAACAACAACAAAAACCCACAAACATTTCCCTTGAAAATTCACACCGAAATAACAGCCGAGCTGCAAATTAAGTCCTAGCTTTGTACCTCCTCAGCTGCGTCCTCCTTTAGACAAAGTTACAAAACAAATGAGTAGTTACTTTGATGTTAACTCATAAAATGAGGGAGCAAAGCTGAATGTTCTGTGAACACGGTTTTAAATCATAATAACCTTCGATGTCTCTTCATCTGCCCTTTGGAGTTTAATGCCTTACAAAGGGGAGGGTGGAGGAAAAACATGGGAAATAATGCCAAGGAGAAAATGTTGCCTCCTTAGTCAAAACTGTGCTCTTTGCTGCCCCTCTGTGTCCATGTCTATTTATTGTATTCCATGTTCTGGCAAAAACATCCCTAGCTCACATTCTCACCTCAGCCCTGTATCTTTTTTTTTGCTAGTCCTGGGGCTTGAACTCAGGTCCCTTAGCTTTTTTTGCTCAAGGTTAGCACTCTACTACTCAAGGCTAACACTCTACCATTTGTGCCACAGCTCCACTTCTGGTCTTTTCTGTTTATGTGGTACTGAGGAATCAAACCCAAGGCTTGATGCATGTTAGGCAAGCACTCTACCACTAAGTCACATTCCCAGCCCTCAGCCCTGTATCTTGATGTTAGTCTCATGGCATTAACTTCTGTCCATATTTTTGTTACGCTGTTTCCTCCAGGTGCTCTTCACTAATGCTGTTAGGTACAAAACAGCATTAGTAAAGAAATACTGTGGCTCACACTAGCTTCTCAGGAGATTGAGATTTGAGGCTCACAGTTTGAAGCCAGCCTGGGCAGGAAAGTCCATGAGACTCTTATTTCCTATTTACCACTCAAAAGCTGGAAGTGCAGCTTTGATTCAATTGGTAGAGCACCTGCCTTGAGTGAAAGTACCTTGAAAGAATAGTGCTCTGAGTTCAAGCCCCTGTGCAAACACTGAAATTTTTTTTTTTTTCGGGGTCCAGTTGTGGGGCCTGAACTCTGGGCCTGGACGCTGTCCCTCAGCTCTTCAGCTCAAGGCTAGCGCTCTATCACTTGAGCCACAGCGCCACTTCCGGCTTTTTTCTTTTGGCTTATGTGGTGCTGGGGAATGGAACCCAGGGCCTCAGGCATGCAAGGCAAGCTCTCTACCACTGAGCCACCTTCCCAGCCCAACACTGAAAATTTTTTAAAAATTTTGTTCAAATGTGGAATAAGATTTCTCATTACTGGGATGATGACTAGAGTTAATGATCCAAAACTACCAATGGGCTGTGGGGGAAGGAACTTGAGAGGGGAAAAATTGGGAGAGAATGAGAGAGAGGTACAGTGTTCACTGTAACCCTTCTATACCTCACCTTTACATTAAAATTAAAAAAAAAAAAGACCAACAATGACACTAAAAAAAAAAAAAACTACCAACAGATTAATAAAAGGCAAGTAAAAAAAAAAAAGCACCAAGAAAATCTCCAAATAAGAACTTGTAGGGCTAGGAAGGTGGCTCAGTGGTAGAGTGCTTGCCTTGTATGCATGAGGCCCTGGGTTCGATTCCTCAGCACCACATAAGCCAAAAGAAAAAAGCTGGAAGTGGCGCTGTGGCTCAAGTGGTAGAGTGCTAGCCTTGAGCTGAAGAGCTGAGGGACAGCACCCAAGACTTTGGTCTCCCCACCCTTTCTTCAGTTTATTCTTAACAGGAAAGCAATAACTTATTAACATAGTAGTACTGTGGTAGGAGGAATCCTCCTACCCTAGTGAACTGGAATTTTTTCTTTCTTTTTAGAAAGAGACTCCTTTTGGACATCTTGGAACAAGTGGAAACACTTAGGTGCTTGGTATGTAAAATGTTTTGGTACTTGTGTGTCCATAATGGGGTTAGGAAGGTAGCTCAGTGGTAGAGCTCTTGCCTTGCATATATGAGGCCCTGGGTTCGATTCTTCAACATCACATAAGCAGAAAAAGCCGGAAGTGATGCTGTGGCTCAAGTGGTAAAGCGCTAGCCTTGAGCTGAAGAGCTGAGACAGTGCCCAGGCCCAGAGTTCAGGTCCCACGACTGGCAAAAAAACCCAAAAAACATATATGATCACCAAGGATTGGTAGCTCATGCCTATAATCCCAGTACTCAGGAAGCTGAGATTGGAGAATCTTGTGTCAGAGCCAGACAAAGCAGGCAAATCTGAGATTCTTTTTTTTTTTTTGGGGGTCCGGTCATGGGGCTGAACTCTGGGCCTGGGTGCTGTCCCTCAGCTCTTCAGCTCAAGGCTAGCGCTCTACCACTTGAGCCACAGCGCCACTTCCGGGTTTTTTTTTTCTTTTTGCTTATGTGGTGCTGAGGAATCGAACCCAGGGCCTCATGCATGCAAGGCAAGTGCTCTACCACTGAGCCACCTTCCCAGCCCAAATCTGAGATTCTTATCTTCAGTTGACCAGCAGCAATTATGGAGGTCCTCTGAAGTGGAGATGTGGCCCAAATGGTAGAACATCAGCCTGAATGAAAAAGCCTAGGGCTGGGAATGTGGCTTGGTGGTAGAGTGCTTGCCTAGTGTGCATGAAACCCTGGGTTTGATTCCTCAGTAAAACAGAAAAAGTGGGAAGTGACGCTGTAGCTCCAGTGGTAGAGTGCTAACCTTGAGCAAAAGCAGCTCAGGGACAGTGCCCAGGCCCTGAGTTCAAGCCTAGGACTGGCACAAAAAACAAAAACAACCCAACACCTTGTCTAAGAGCTTTGGAGCCTAAGGTACATGATATTGTTCTCTGTAAGAATTATCTCTGAGGTTCTCTCCTAGATTATGGATAACAGAAACCCCAACTCAAGATAGTTTCATGTGTTATTTATCTTTTATGTTCATCCATTTGTTTCCACAGAGATAAGACTCCTAAGAAAATAAAATGGCATCCGGAGATTTCTGCTCACCTGGAGAAGGGATGGAAATATTACAACAAGGTAAGGGTAGCCATTTGCAAAAGGGTTGATAACAGGGGCTGGGAAGGTGGCTTAGTGGTAGAGCACTTGCCTTGCATGCATGAGGCCCTGGGTTCAATTCCTCAGTACCATATAAGCAAAAAGAAAAAAACTGGAAGTGGCGCTGAGGCTCAAGTGGTAGAGCGCCTTGAGCTGAAGAGCTGAGGGACAGAGCCCAGGCCCAGAGTTCAGGCCCCACGACTGTACCCCCCCCCCAAAAAAAAAAAGGGTTGATAACATTTAGAGAGGTTTTATTCATAATGTTTTTGCCTTCTATAATGAAAAGGATCAATTATATCCACCAGAGTAGTTTTTCTTACAGAAGCCTATGTTTCATGGGGCTTCTTGAACACTCCTTTAATTGGAAACAGATTATATATGTTCCTGTTATGGTTGATTCAATATCAACTAGTGCTATAGACTAAAAACAGGTGTGAGCCACCAGTGCCCCACACCTTTTTGTTTTTTTGTCCCTGTGCTATGAAGTATGCAGCAAACAGTTACCTCCTTGTAACCTGAGTGAAGAGGACCTGTTACAGAACCCTTACTTCAGCAAGCTTCTGCTGAGTCTCTCACAGCATGTGGATGAGAGTGGCTTAAGCCTTAACCTAGCAAAGGAACAGGCTCAGGTAAGAGCCTTGGGAAACAGGAGGTAGGGAAAATCCTTCTGAGAGAAAAAGGTTTCTAGCTAGAAACTTAACGGTTTTCTAGGTATGGAAGAAAGTTCGACTACATAAGACAACATGGTTGAGGTCAGAGGTTTTACAGCGAGTCATTCAAGAGCTGCTTGTGGAATACTATGTGAAGACACAAGACACAAATTTAACAGAGGACAAAAAGGTGAGGCTAAAGAGATGAGGTGTCAGTTACCAACCATGAGAATGACCAGGCTAGCCAGGTGTGGCAGTGCACACCTGTAATTTCAGCCTTAGGCGGGAGGATCTAGAGTGCAGCAATTTGAAATAACAATTTGAAAGTAAGACTTCACTGGAAAGGAGAGAGGGAGGGAGAGAAGGAAGAAGGAAAGGAGGGGAAAAAGTAAGTAAAACAAAGGAAGGAAAAAAGGTAAGAAGGAAGGAGAAGGAAAGGAAGAAGTGAAGTTTTCTGAAGGAGGGGACAGCTTTGATGACTCTGAAGATGTATGAGAACTGATTTGTGGGGATGGCAGGGGTGGAGTGGGAGGAGTTTTATTGTCACTCTTTCTTGTTGATTTTCTCTCTCAGTTTCATGAGACCCTTGAACAACGACTACTTGTTACTGAACTGACACAGCTTTTGGGTTCCAGCCAGGAGAGAGAGACACCTTCACTGCTCGGGCTAGAGAAGGCAGATCTCCTAGAACTCATGCCGCCCTCTGAGGTTGGGGGTGGGCAGCTGGGGGAGGTGGTCAAAGAGGGAAATGGCGTAATTTTTCTTGTTAAACATTATTATTTTGTAAAAATTGTATATACCTATTGTGGTTAAACTCAAATAAGTAAGGAAAACATTTCACAGAAGAAAGTAAAGCTGAAATACTACCTCCAAAAATACAGTATTGTATAGCTGGGTGCCAGTGGCTCACGCTTGTAATCCTAACTACTTAGGAGGCTGAGATATGAGGATTATGGTTTGAAGCCAGCCTGGACAGGAAAACCTGTGAGACTTAATTGCCACTAAACTAAAATCCGGAAGTGGAGCTGTGGCTCAAGTGATAGAGCATTAGCCTTGAGCCAGGAAAGGTCAGGGACAGATCCCAGGCCCTAAGTTCAAGCCCCAGAATGGGCACAAGAAAAGAAAGAAAGAAAAGAAAAATACAGGGGGCTGGGAATGAGGCCTAGTGGTAGAGTGCTTGCCTACCATGCTTGAGGCCCTGGGTTCAATTCTTCATTACTATAGTTGGAAGTGGTGCCGTGACTCAAGTTGTAGAATGCTAGCTAGCTTTGAGCAAAAGCAGCTCAGGGACAGTGCCCAGGCCCTGAGTTGAAGCCCCAGGACTGGCAAAAAGAAAAGAAATACAGTGTTATTATAAATAGCTTGACACTCTCCAAACTTATATGTTGTTTAGTCTAATTATGTGGGGGGAGAAGGGAGTGTTGTGCATATGCAACCACCAGTACTGGCACTTGAACTCATGATTTCATTCTGTCATTTGTTTTTTTTGCTCAAAGTTAGCCCTCTCTTACTTGAGTTCCATTTCTGGATTTCTGATGGTTAATTGGAGATAAGAGTCTCATAGACTTTGCTGTCCATGCTGGCTTTGAACCTTATCCTCAGCCTCCTGAGTAACTAGGATTAGAGGTGTAAGCCACTAGTGCCTGGTGTATTTTTTTGCTGGTCATGGGGCCTGAACTCTGGATGCTGTCCCTCAGCTCTTCAGCTCAAGATTAGCACTCTACCACCTAAGCCACAGCGGCACTTCCGGCTTTTTCTGCTTATGTGGTGCTGAGGAATGGAACCCAGGGTCTCATAAATGCAAGGCAAGCGCTCTACCACTGAGCCACCTTCCCAGCCCCTGCCTGGCTTTTTTTGTTCTTTTGAGACAAGATCTCATTTTGTATAACTCAGGCTTGCCTTGAACTCAAGATCCTGCTGCCTCAGTATACTAAGTGCATAGTTTGTTTTGGTGTAATATATTTTTTGTTTTTGTTTTTGTCAGTCATGGGGCTTGAACTCTGGGCTTGGGCGCCGTCCCTGTGCTCTTCAGCTCAAGGCGAGTGCTCTACCGCTTGAGCCACAGTGCCACTTCCGGTTTTCTAGTGGTTTATTGGATATAAGAGTCCTGCCCAGGGTTGGCTTTGATCCGTGATCCTCAGATCTCAGCCTCCTGAGTAGCTAGGATTATAGGCGTGAGCCACCAGCACCTGGCTTGGTGTAATATATTTTGTAGCCAGCCTAGGCAGGAAAAGTCTGTGAAACTATCTCCAATAAACCACTCAAAAGCCGGAAGTGGCACTGCAGCTCAAGTGGTAGAATGCTTGCCTTGAGCTGAATAGCTGAGAGACAGTGCCCAGGCCCAGAGTTCAAGCCCCATGACCGACAAAAAAAAAAAAAAAAGAAAAAGATATTTTGTAATACATTTTTTCAAGTCCATAAATAGATATAAATAAGATGATACCCTCCCCCCCAATATCAGTGTCTAGGCACATGATAGTTAGTGCCCTTACATAAAATAAGTTAAATTGCTGCTAGGATCCACATAATGAATCTATTATGTGGATCCTAGCAGTGTGCTTAGCCTTATCGATGGATATTAAATTTATTCTCACATTTTTCTATTAGAAACCACACTGTGATGAACATGACAGTCCACATGTGCCTTTGCCTTTGTACAATTACTTCCCCAGTATTGATGCCAGGGGTGGGATCTTTGGGTAGCACATATATCATGGTACATAGAGGGGTTTCCAGTGCCCCTGGGTCCCTGTGTTTCCACCATCATGGAATCTTGCCAGTTGTTTTACTTTTTGCTGATTTTCTTCTTTTATTTTTGTGGGCTTAGGGATCAGATTCAGGGCACATGGTAGGCAAGTGAACTGAGTCTACAGTCCCTCTTTTTGCTAATTGTATAAACTGAAATGAATGCATCTTCTTGGTTATTAGTGAGGCTGTATGGGCATGTATTCACTGGCAAGTCTTCTAGTTGTCATGGTCTCTTTGCTGCTATGGCTGCAGGACTTTGCATGGATGAGAGCTCGGCTCCAGATGGAAGTGGAGGAGCAGCTCAAGAGGAAATGTTTCACTCTGCTGTGTTACCATGATCCCAACTCAGGTGAGTGCTGGCTGCCCTCCTCACAGGTGACCTCAGGGTTTCTGGGCTTTATTGTTTTTGTTTTTGGTTGGTTGGTTGTGGGGCTTGAACTCAGGGCCTGGGCACTGTTCCGAAGCTCTTTTGCTCAAGGCTAACCCTCTATCACTTGAGCCACAGTGCCACTTCTGGTTTTCTGGTCATTAATTGGCAATAAGAGTCTCATGGACTTTCCTTCCCTTGGCTGGTTTTGAACCATGATCCTCAGATCGCAGCCTCCTGAGTACCTAGGATTACAGGCATGCCAATGGCAGCCAGCTGGGTTGCTCTTTTGAGAATAAAATATTTGTACTTTGGAGTCAAAAATGCTTGGGTTAGGAATATAGTGGTAGAGTGTGAGACCTTGAGTTCAAACTCTACTACTGTTGAAAAAAGAAAAAAGGGGAGGGGAGGAAAAATAAGGAATGCTTATTTGTTTATTTCATTGGTGGTAAAATAATATTCAGCAAAGTGCTAAGTGGAGTGTCTTCCTGCTGCAGAGAAGAGTCCTTAGGAGGATCAAAATGGCAAAGGGAAGAAAGTTTATTTCTGTGACTTAAGAATTCATGTTTGGGGGCTGGGGAGGTGGCTCAGTGGTAGAGCGCTTGCCTTGCATGCCTGAGGCCCTGGGTTCAATTCCTCAGCACCACATAAGCAAAAAGAAAAAAAGCCGGAAGTGGTGCTGTGGCTCAAGTGGTAGAGCGCTAGCCTTGAGCTGAAGAGCTGAGGGACAGTGCCCAGGCCCAGAGTTCAGGCCCCACAACCGGACCCCCCCCCCCCCCCCCGCAAAAAAAAAAAAAGAATTCATGTTTGGCTGGATGCCAATGGTGGCTCTGTGGCTCAAGTGGTAGAGTGCTCACTTTGAGCTGAAGAGCCCAGGGACAGTGCCCAGGCCCAGAGTTCAAGCCCCACAACAGACCCCCCCCCCCAAAAAAAAAAAAAGGAGTTCAAATTTGGGGGCTGGGAATGTGGCTTAGTGGTAGAGTGCATGCCTAGCATGTTTGATTCCTCAGTACCACATAAACAGAAAAAGCTGGAGGGGGCCTTAAGGGAATAAGCTAAGGGACAGCACCTAGACCCTAAGTTCAAGGCTCAGTACCAGCACAAAAACAAACAGGATGTTGAATTGAAACTCCTTTGTAAAACTACTTAAAGATAATTATAAAAAAAAAAATTAAAAAGCTGGGCACTGGTGGCTTTCGCCTGTAATCCTAAAGGCTATCCCAAAGGCTGATATCTTAGGATCGCAGTTCAAAGCCAGCCCAGGCAGGAAAGTCTGTGAGACTCTTATCTTCAATTAACTACCAAAAAACTGGAAGTGGGGCTGTGACTCAAGGTGGTAGAATGTTGGCCTTGAGCATATAAGCTCAGGGACAGTCAGTGCCCAGCCCTGACTCAGAACCTATCAAAAATAAAAAACAACATAAAATAAAATGAAGACTGAGAATATGGCTGAAGTGGTAGAATACCTATCTAGCAAGGGGAAAAAAAAGAACAAAGAAAATAAAAATCAATTAAAAAACAAAACACAATCACATAGGCTTTCCCTTCCCAGCCTAGACCTGGGAAGAACATTCAGATCTCTGGTACTTAGGGCTGGGAAGGTGGCTCAGTGGTAGAGCACTTGCCTTGCATGCCTGAGGCCCTGGGGTTCCATTCCTCAGCACCACATAAGCCAAAAGAAAAAAAGCTGGACAGCGGCCAGGCCCAGAGTTCAGGCCCCACGACCGAACCCCCCCCCCCCCAAAAAAAAAAAAAAAAAAACAACATCTCTGGCACTTATACCAGATGCTGAGGAATAGGATTTACATAGGGGAAGTGGAGGTTAGAGATGTGTTTGGTATATAGAAGAATGAGTTTGTGGTGGATGGATTGACCTATAGTGCCAACCCAGGCTAAAAGGTAGTTATGTTTTATCTCATAGCCTTTCAGGGTTTCCTAGCAGATAGAGGAGACATAAGAATTGAGTGACTGGCTGGGAATGTGGCTTAGTGGTGGAGTGCTTGCTAGCATGTTTGAAGCCCTGCGTTCAATTCCTCAGTACCTCATTAACAGAAAAAGTCAGATGTGGTGCTGTGGCTCAAGTGGTAGAGCACTAGCCTTGAGCAAAAGAAGCTCAGGGACAGTGCCCAGGCTTGAACTCATCAATCCCCAGTACTGGCTCATGCCTGTAACCCTAGCTACTCAGAAGGCTGAGCTCTGAGGGTCACAATTCAAAACCAGCCCAGGTAGAAAAAGCCATGAGATTTTTATCTCCAATTAGCCACCAGAAAACTGGAGGTGGTGTTGTGGCTCAAAGCGGTAGAGGGCCAGGCACAGTGCCCAGGCTCTGAGTCCAAGCCCTATAGCGGTCAAAAAAAAAAAAGAACTCAGGTTTGCCTGGCACTGGTGATTCATGTCTGTAACCCTAGCTACTCAGAAGTCTATCCAGTAGAGTGAGATCTAAGGATTCCGTTCTAAGTCTAAGTCAGTCCAGGTAGACATAGCTAAGAGACTTTTTTTTGGGGGGGGGGTCATTCATGGGGTCTGGATACTGTCCCTGAGCTCTTTTGCTCAATTCTACTGCTCTACCACTTTGAGCCAGAGTATTACTTCTGGTATTGTAATGGTTAACTGGCAATAAGAGTCTTACAGAGCCAGGTGTCAGTGGATAACACCTATAATCCTAGCTACTTAGGAGGCTGAGATCTGAGGATTGTGGTTCAAAGCCAGCCTGGGCAGTAAAGTCTGTGGACTTTTTTTTTTTTTTTTTTGGTCGGTGTGGGGCTTGAACTCTGGGCTTGGGTGCTGTCCCTCAGCTCTTCAGCTCAAGGCTAGTGCTCTACCACTTGAGCCACAGCACCACTTTGGCTTTTTTCTTTTTGCTTATGTGGTGCTGAGGAATCGAACCCAGGGCCTCAGGCATGCAAGGCAAGCGCTCTACCACTGAGTCAACTTCCCAGCCCCTCAAGCCCTACTACCAACAACTACAACAACAACAAAAAGAAGAGTCTCACAGACTTTACTGTCCGGACTGGCTTTGAACCACAATCCTCAGCCTCCTGAGGATTACAGGTGTGAGCCATCAGTACCTGACTCTGAGAGACTTTTATCTCCAGTTAACTAGCAGAAACAAGCCAGAGTAGGAGTGTGGTTCAAGTAGAACAGCACCAGCCTTGAGCAAAAAAACTAAGTGAGGGGCTGGAGGTGGCTCAATGGTAGAGTGATTGGCTTGCATGCATGAGGCCCTGGGTTCGATTCCTCAGCACCACATACACAGAAAAAGCTGGAAGTGGGTGCTATGGCTCAAGTGGTAGAGCACTAGCCTTGAGCTGAAGAGCTCAGAACAGTGCCCAACCCAGAGTTCAAGCTCCACGAACAGCAAAAAAAAAAAAAAAGCTAAGTGAGAGAGCATGGAACCCTGAGTTTAAGCCCTAGTATTGGCACAAAAATAAATAAAAAGAATTCAGGTCCAAATCTGGAATCAAACATGAGACTGAACCTAACTATGAGAAGCAGACATCAGAAGAAAACCTAGAAGACAGAACTTGGAGGGCTAGCTATAGGAGTGGGGTACTATACAAAGATCCTGAAGGGCAGTAGCAATTAGGGTTTTCCTGTCAGTCCTCTGTGTCTTTGCCTAGATGCTGACCGTGAAACTCTGAAGGCCACAAAGGTATGGAAACTGGCAGAGGTCCTGGTGAATGAGAAGCAGCAGTGCCAGGATGCCAAGAGTCAGCAGAAGGAGCAGCTGGTGCTTCTGGAGAAGAAGAGTGCCACCTACTCCCAGGTTTGGGAGGACCACTGGGTGCTTCCTTCCTCTGACCCCAGGGCCACCTGTAGGGAAGCTAAGGGGTCTGATTTGCTCTCCTTCCTCCTGTGTTTTCTTTGGCCTCTTTGTCTTTCCTCTGGGGGATCAGGTGCTTCTACGCTGCCTCACCTTGCTGCAGAGGCTTCTTCAGGAGCACCGGCTGAAAACTCAGTCTGCGCTCCACCGCATCAACGCCCAGTACCTGGAAGTCAAATGCAGTGCCATGATCCTTAAGCTGAGGTGAGCTATGAGCCCTGCGGATCCCCAGATTCTGTCTCACCCCTCCCCCAACTCTTTCCATCATGCCTAGCACCTTGTAAATAGATACTCAGTAAATGGCACACAGTAATGTTAGCCTTTAGATTACCTGAAAGCTTTTAGCATTCTTGAGTCTTTTAGTTTCTGCTTTTTGAAATAGTTATTTAGGGCTGGGAAGTTGGCTTAGTGGTAGAGCGCTTGCCTTGCATGCCTGAGGCCCTGGGTTCGATTCCTCAGCACCACATAAGCAAAAAGCAAAAAAAGCTGGACGTGGCGCAAGTGGTAGAGCACTAGCCTTGAGCTGAAGAGCTGAGGGACAGCGCTCAGACCCAGAGTTCAGGCCCCACGACCAGAAACCCCCCCCCCAAAAAAAAAAAAAAAAGAAAATGAAAGAGTTATTTATTTTTTGTTTCGTTTTAGTGCTGGTCCTGGGGCTTGAACTCAGGGCCAAGGTGCTGTCCCTGAGCTTTTGTGCTCAAAGCAAGAGCTCTACCACTTGAACCACAGTTCCACTTTCAGCTTTTTGATAGGTAATTGGAGATAAGAGTCTCATGAACTTCTCTGTCTGAGCTGGCTTTGAATCACCATCCTCAAATTTCAGCCCCCTGAGTAGCTAGGCTTATAGATGTGAGCCACGGGCTTGAAATAGGTAGTTTCCTGGGAGATCCATTACTCAGGGATTCAGAGTGACCTTGATTACCCCATCCCTGAAGAGTCTATACTCTGCCCATGGACAAGTACTGTGTCCATTACTCACTCTGCTTCAGTCAATGATCTTTCACATGACCCTTTTTTCTTTCCTCTGCCAGGATGGAGGAACTAAAGATTTTGTCTGATACTTACACTGCTGAGAAAGTAGAAGTTCATCGTCTCATTAGGTAAGATCTCCCAAGAGCGTAGTATAGCTGTCACAGCTAGTTTGCACACCCTCTAGACTTGTTCATCATATGTTCCCATTCTGTTTATTTTCTGAGGGTCAACATCTTTATTTATTTAACATGCCAGTACTAGGGCTTGAACTCAGGGCCTGGGTACTGTCCTTTAGCTTTCTTTTTGGCTCAAGGCTGGTTCTCTACCACTTAAGCCACAGTTCCACTTTTTTTTTTTTTTGGTGGTCATGGGGCTTGAACTCTGGGCCTGAGTGCTGTCCCTCAGCTCTTCAGCTCAAGGTGAGTGCTCTACCACTTGAGCTACAGCGCCACTTCCGGTTTTCTGGTGGTTTATTGGAAATAAGAGTTTCACGGACTTTCCTGCCAGAGCTGGCTTTGAACCACGATCCTCAGATCTCAGCCTCCTGAGTAGATAGGATTACAGCGCGAGACACCAGTGCCTTGCCAGTTCCACTTTTTGCTTTTTTTTTTTTTTTTTGTTGGTCATAAGGCCTGAACTCTGGGCCTGGGCGCTACTCCTCAGCTTTTCAGCTCAAGGCTAGTGCTCTACCACTTGAGCCATAGCTCCACTTCCAGCTTTTTCTGCTTAGTGGTACTGAGGAATTGAACCCAGGGCCTCATATATACAAGGCAAGCACTCTACCACTGAGCCATCTTCCCAGCCCCACTTTTTGCTTTTTAGAGATTGATTGGAAATAAGAGTCTCATGTACTCCTCCTGCTTGGGCTGGCTCCAAACTGCAACCCTCAGATCTTAGCTTTCTGAGTAGCTAGGAATACAGGCATGCTCATTTAGCATCTTTACATTGAGCCTCCTTTTTTTATTTCTTCTTTTTTTGGGGGGGGGGGTGTCAGGGTACTTGAACTCTGGGCCTGGGCGCTGTTGCTGACTCTTCAGCTCAAGGCAAGTGCTCTACCACTAGAGCCACAGTGCCACTTCAAGTTTTCTGGTGGTAACTGTACTTTCCTGCCCAGGCTGGCTTTGAACCACGGTCCTCATATCTCAGCCTCCTGAGTAGCTAGATTATAGGTGTGAGCCACCAGCGCCCGGCTGACCCTTCTTTTTCTGGGCTTCTAGAGACCGTTTAGAAGGAGCTATTCGCTTACAAGAACAGGACATGGAAACGTCACAACAGGTCTTGAGCACCTATGAGATCCTTGGGGAGGAGTTTGACAGGCTGGTAAAAGAGTATACCCAGCTCAAACAGGCAATGGAGAACAAACGCTGGGCCCTCCAAGAGTTCAACAAGGCCTGCAGCTGAGCTGAGCTAAGCTGAGCCCAGCCAAGTCAAGCCAGGAAGTATGGCTCCTACACAGTCACTACTGCCTTCTCTCCTTGCTAAGAACCACCACACTGAGGCTGCCTCCATTACAGCAGGATGTGAGAATACTTGCTTAAAACAGCTGCTATAATTTAGGCACCCTCTTGGTTTCTCTCCCTTGTTTACAATAACTGGATTTCTCCTGGGAATATAGCTATCTGCATACCATAGCTGCTTGTCTATGTCAGCCCTGTATTATATTGGATTAACTCCTAAATAAAATGATAATATTATTTCTTAGGATTTGAGTCATTTTCTTGGGCAATGATGGAAATAGAACATCAAGTCTATGTGACTGATGGTTAAGGAGGGAGAACTCAGAAATAAAGACAGAGCTGAGTGCTGGTGGCTCACACCTGTAATCCTAGCTACTTAGGAGGCTGAGATCTGAGGAATATGATTTGACACCAGCCCAGGCAGAAAAGTCCATGAGACTCTTATCTCCAATTAACCACACACACACACACACAAGAAAAAACCTACAAGTGGAGCTGTGGCTCAAGTGGTAGAGTGTTAGCTTTAAGTAAAAAAAGCTCAGGGACAGGGATCAAGCCCAGAGTTCAAGCTCCAGGACCAGCAAAAGAAGAAGAAGAAAGAGAAGAAGAACAAGAAGAAGAAGGAGAAGGAGAGGAGCCAGATCTACAGTACTTACACAGAAAGTGGGATATAGAAGTGCCAGCCTGCCCTCATCTAGTTCTAGAGTTCTGTTCTGGGAGGGCAGAAGTGGATTAAGGCTGAGTTTGTCTAGAACTTGAATTGCCAGAGAAGTTCTAGGTGCTGAAAAAAAGCATGCACATAGCTCAGTTGTAGTAAAGCACACAACCACTTATGCTCCTGTGGTTTAAGAGGATTACATCCCTCCAAAGGCAGAGGGTGCAAAGAAATCACCCTGAGGTACCAACCCCCACAGTCTGCTTTGCTGAGAATAGGCAGTGTCTGGCTGGTTTTGGAACTGAGGACTGAGAACATAGAAGTCCCCTTATCTTTATTCAGAAGAACCCACTCAGCTTCCTGACTACTTTCTACAGAGACATTCTTCAGCTAGGGTCAAATGATGGTCTGGATTCACATGGGAAAAATTAAGGTCTTAATCTTGACATTCAATCTGTAAATTGTGCTGATAGGTAGGATTACAGGCATGAGTTACCAGCACCCAGCGATCACTCTTATTTTTGTATTCAAATGCTGACCCCCTCAAATAAACCAATAAACTTTGGGAAAAAAAACATATAGTCAATACTGCTTAGATTTATTGTGTTTGGTTTTTTTCAAACCTATAGGAAAGTTAAAAGACTAGTAGGAAGGTCAGATAAGTTGGTGTTACAGAAATGAACCCTAAGATATGTATTTAAATGTTTTTTTTTTTCTTTCAGGTAATTGTTTCTAACACATTTATAAGATTATTTCTTTGTTGCTTTGTATGTCCCTCCCCCATGGTATAACCCCTGCTTTCACTGTATTTGATGTTGGTATAATTTGTGGAGGGGAAGGGAAAAAACAAATAGTTTAAATAAGGATACAGGTGGATCCATTGCAACAATGAGATGTACAAGTCGTTATGTGGAAAAACAAACTTTACAACTTTGGTGGGAGAGGATTGGGTGAGGGGGTGGGGGGAAGATGGGAAGGGATGGGAAGGGGAAACAAAGGAGGAGGCTACAATGCTTGATAAGAAATGTACTCATTGGGCTGGGAAGGTGGCTCAGTGGTAGAGCGCTTGCCTTGCATGCCAGAGGCCCTGGGTTCGATTCCTCAGCACCACATAAGCAAAAAGAAAAAAGCCGGAAGTGGTGCTGTGGCTCAAGTGGTAGGGTGCTAGCCTTGAGCTGTAGAGCTGAGGGACAGCGCCCAGGCCCAGAGTTCAGGCCCCACGACCAGACGCTGAGGAATCCAACCCAGGGCCTCAGGCATGCAAGGCAAGCGCTCTACCACTGAGCCACCTTCCCAGCCCTGTACTCATTATCTTGCCCATGTAATTGTAACCTCTCTGTACAGTATTTTCACAAAAAAAAAAAAAAAAGACTAGTAGGAAAAATGGCAGTATATTCCTTTTTTTTTTTTTTTTTTTTTTGGTTGGTGGTAGAGCTTAAACTCTGGGCTTGGGCATTGTCTCTCAGCTCTTCAGCTCAAGGCAAGCATTCTACCACAGCACTATTTCCAGTTTTCTGGTGGTTAACTGGAGACAAGAGTCTCAGAGACTTTCCTGCCTGGGCTGGCTTTGAACTGCGATCCTCAGATGTCAGCCTCCTGAGTAGCTAGAATTACAGGCGTGAGCCACTGGTGCCTGGCAATATATTCTTAAACTATATTCAGCAATTAGCATTTAGTTGTTTTTCTCCATCTCCCCTTTCCTTCCTTTTTCCCTTTTCCTTTTTTCTCTGTAAAAATTTAGATATAGCTGGACACTGGTGGCTCACACCCATAATCCTAGCTACTCAGGAGGCTGAAATATGAGGATTGGGGTTCAAAGCCAGCCCAAGCAGAAAGCCCACCAGACTCTTATGTCCAATTAACCACCAGAAAACTGGAAGTGGTACTGTGGCTCAAGTGGTACAGCACTAGCCTTGAGCTGAAGAGCTGAGGGACAGTGCCCAGGGCCAGAGTTCAAGTCCCATGACTGACCAAAAAAAAAAAAAAGAGATGAATACCTCATCCTCTGGCTACATCAGGTTACAATACATCACTACTTTAACTGTGCTGAATTTGATTGCTTGGTTATGGTGTAAACTGCCAGATTACCATGAATGGGCTTTTTCTTGCATATAAATCTTCATTTTCTCTTGGTAGTTAGTAGCATCTGGAAATAAACTTCAAATATTTCAAAACCCTTCCTGATATTTATTATGATACTCAATACTTGCTCTTTAATTAAGAACTCATCTCGAACCAAACTAGATTATTTGAAATAATATAAGAAGAAATAGAGCTGGGCTCCTGTAATCCTAACTACTCAGGAGTCTGAGATCTGAGGATCACGGTTCAAAGCCAGCCCAGACAGGAAAGTCTGTGAGACTCTTATCTCCAATTAACCACCAGAAAACTGGAAGAGGCTTTGTGGCTCAAGTGGTAGAGTGCTTGCCTCGAGCTGAAGAGCTGAGGGATAATGCGTAGGCCCAAAGTTCAAGCCCCATGGCCGACAAAAAAAAAAAAAGCAGGAATGTGAAGCCTTGAGTTCAAGCTGTAGTACTGGCACACACACACACACACACACACACACACACAGACACGCGCGCGAAACAACAAAACAATAACAAAGAAACAAGGAGTAAAGATGTAGACAGAGGGCTGGGAAGGTGGCTCAGTGGTAGAGCGATTGCCTTGCATGCATGGGGCCCTGGGTTCAATTCCTCAGCACCACATAAGCAGAAAAAAAAAGCTGGAAGTGGCTCTGTGGCTCAAGTGGTAGAGTGCTAGCCTTGAGCTGAAGAGCTGAGGGATAGCGCCCAGGCCCAGAGTTCAGGCCTCACGACCAGACACCCCCCCCCCCCAAAAAAAAAAAGAAATGGACAAGGAAAGCTTTCACAAGTGATCAAAATCTCCTATTACTTCAATGGAGACACTAGGGAACTGGGAGTTAAATTAGATTTCTAACTGCCCGAGCAAACCAAAATTGCTTCTAAGATAGTAATTCTCACTCCTGCTCCCTTAACAGTAAGGGGCTAGATGTCATGCTATTTTTTCCTATTTCAAAAATCATAAAGAAAACTGAGCTAGGCACCAGTGGCTCACATCTGTAATGCTAGCTACTCAGGAGGCTGAGATATGTCAGCCTGGATAAGAAAGTTCATGAGACATTTTTTTTTTTAAGCCAGTACTGAGGCTTGAAGTCAGGACATAGGCTCTGTCCCTGAACTCTGTGCTCAAGGCTAGCTAGCACTCTACTTGAGCCAGAGCGCCCTTTCTGGATCTTTCTGTTTATGTGGTACAGAGGAATCAAATCCAGGGATTCATGCATGCTAGGCAATCACTCTACCACTAAGCCACATCCCTAGCCCCTCCATGTGACTCTTACTTCCAATTAACCAGTAAAAACCAGAAGTAGAGCTGTGACTCAATTGGTAGAGTGCCAGCCTGGAGCCGACTGACTCAGGGACAGCACGTTGGCTATGCGTTCAACTTCAATATTGCTAAAAAGAAAGAAAGAGAGAAAGAATGAGAGGAAAGAAATGAGAAGAAAGGAAGGAAGAAAAGAAAGAAAATTGAGCATTTACCTGCAACAGTCTGTATGAACATGTTGTTTTGCTTTTGTGGTACTGGGGATTGAACTCAAGGTTTCCTATTTGTCTGCTCTACCACTTGAGTCAGACCACCAACCTGCAAAAACTTCTTTTATATTGGCTTAAAACCCAAACCCTCAAAAGTATATATTGTAAAAAAGATTAAACCAAGCTTAACACACTGGCCCCTACCATATACCCCATTACCCCAGTCCACTTCCCCAAGTAATTAGACTGATTTGGTCTGTATAGTGTCACACTTTTCTATAAATATGCAACCATGTGCACAAACACTACTTTGTGTTCTTTTCAGATTATGGTTGCATCAGAGTTTCACCATTCCAGCCAATATAGATAATTTAGATTGTTTCCCGTTTGCTCTATTAGAAAAAAAAAAACTTAATTGAATATCATTCCATATATCTCCTGCTATAAAAATTGCCTTTGCTTTTTTTTTTTTGGCCAGTCCTGGGACTTGAACTCAGGACCTGGGTACTGTCCCTAAGCTTTTTTACTTGAGGTGACACTCTACCTCTTGGGCCATAGCTCTATTTCTGGCTTTTAGAGTCTCATGGCTTTCCTACCTGGACTGGCTTCAAACTGTCATCCTCAAATTTCAGCCTCCTGAGTAGCTAGGATTACAGGTATGAACCACTGGCACCTGTTTATGTCTTTGCTTTTTGCTGATATTATATAGTTAGTCAGTCTTTTAATTCCTATGTTCGTAATTTCATTGAAAAAAAAATCACTGAGTTTATGAATGTAGTTTGGCAGTAAGTCTTTCAAAGAAGTTCATGGGAGGGGAAAACAAAAGCATATCCAGGGCCACCTGTAGGAAGCACTAGGACACTTTTTCTTGGTCCTTTCATTTCTCGCTCCAATTAGATGTAGAAGTTTTACAGGTGCTCATCCTATGTTTAGTCTCCTTTTTTCTTGTGTGTGTGCCAGGCTTGAGGCTTGAACTCTGGGCCTCAGCACTGTCGCTGAGGCCAACACTAACACCACAGCCCCCTGAGTTCCTAG